GTCTGGCTTAAATACATGTGACTGGCGCCGATGTCATCTCTGTCAAAGGAGCATCCCTTGTATTTTTAACAGGGGGACTGTGACATGGACCCAGGACAATTACTGTCAGAGCACACAGGGTGATGAATCTGCCGCCTTATTGTGTTTGTCATCTCGACCTCTGGCTGCAATCTGATTGGTATAGTCGCCTACTTCAGATGGATGCTTTGTTCCTCTCCTGCATGTGTGAATGTGTGCATCATAGCACTTATACTGCGACTGAATTGACTCTCCCTTGGTTTGCTGTGTCAGGGGGGAGAAATATGGATGTCAAAATGAGTCATCCATTTAGAAACAAATACAACACCTATGCTTGCAAAATGATTGGGAGCATACATTTTGTGTATTGCCTTTAAATTTAACTTCACATGTTGGCTTTTACAGTGTAGATATAGTGTAGTAGATTTTCATTTTTTTATATGGAGCATGTTGGGAATGAAAGTCTCATAGTATTTTGCTTTTTACTTCTTTTGACAAGCAAATTAATTTAAACAGATTTTACATCACCATACAAGATAAATGTTTTGTCTGGTGCAAGAAGGTGCTGTTCACCATATTTTACAGTGGACAAGGTCATCTTGCTATGGTTCTGAGAATATGTTCTCTAGAAAAAGAGAAACATGTGAATGTTAAACCCCAAATGGGCGGCTGATTATACCAGAGCTTCTCTAAATAAGTTCAAAAACAACTCCCTGTGGTTTCACCGTAAATGACACATTAAAAAAAGGGTTTTCACCTAGCCTGTGGTATTAGCCATTTTATTTTTCATCTGTTCACTGTTTTTAGTATTCAAAATGAAGTTCCCACATAGCAAGAAATGTGGACTAAATTCACTAAATTCCCCTTATATTAGTGTACAGTGTAGACCTATTGTAATAACCACATATTTGTAATATGCAAAGTAATTTACCCACAAAAAAATAAGCTGTAATTGCTGCACCTGGTTCTGATATTTACTGGCTCTGATTTGTATCTTGAAGCAACGTATTTTGCTTTTATGGTCTATGCTGAGCCCAGTATTTGCCATAAATGGCAGGTGTGCAAAATTGAAGTGCAAAAGTAATTCAGCTCCTGCCATTCAAAGGAGCTATGTCAGTTTGATTTACCTGTACATATAAACATGCACACACACACACACACACACACACATACACACACACACCTTTGGGCCACATGTGTTTTTTATATTCATATGGTGAAGGAAAAAAAAATGTGCGCCTCCAAAATGGAGGTTGAGGGGTCATGGTGTTTGGCCAGGAGTGACAGCTCTGAAATGAAGGCATAAGTCAATCGGCTACTCTTCATACGCACACACACTCACGCACACACAC